TTCTAGGTTTTACCGTTTTTTAAGAAAAAAAGAAAAAAAAAAAAAGAAAAAAAAAAAAAAAAGAGAGAGAGAGAAAAAAAGGAAAACCCAATAGCCAACAAAAGTTTCTTGCTGCAACTGATTCAACTGGGGGAAAAAAAAAATAACAGCAAGTGAGGCTTTACAGAGAGGAAGAAAAGAAAAATAAAACCACAAAAAAAAAAAAAAAAGCAGAAAAGAAAACCCGCATAATCCAAATCCAAGAAGAGCGAAGCCTATTTTTGTGTGTTTGAAAGGAAAACACTGATTCTGCCAGCTGAGTAGAGCGCTAGATACTTAAGTGTAGATTTCCCTAGAAGTACCGTGAGGTTTTATAACATTGTCCGGTTTTGTTTTCCTTGTGCTTTGTGATAAGTCCAGGAACTAAGGCTAAGGTATTTTTTCCCCTGATATATTGTCGTTTGGGATGGGAGGGGGGGAGGGGGGCGGAGGTTATTCTTAATTTTTTTTTTTTTTCCAGATTATTTTTTTAAGTGTGTATTTGTGCTTATTTTTACATTATCCAACTGTACATAAGGCATTTAACCAGTATTTCACTGTGCTCGAATTACTGCACTCGGAAGCACTGCACAGTCGGAATCCCCAAGAGCTGCCAGAGGCTGGGATTTGGGGAGGGGAGGGGGGGGAAGGAGAAAGCTGCTACGTGAGCAGATGGGGGGATTCCTGGGAATTGTGGGAAGCAGGGAGCGAGCCCACCAGCCCCTTCCCGCTCTCCAGCCCGGCATTTCCATTCCAGGCCAAGCTAGAAGACAGGAGGGGACGGGATCAGCCGGGGCTGGGATGCTCAAAGGGGTTTCAGAGCTGGTGATTTGCCCTTTGGAATTTTTGGGATGCCATGGGAATTCCCAGCCTTTTGGCAGCGCCTTGCCCTCCCTGGATGCCCCAGTGCGAGTTAATGGGCATGTTCGTGTCACTGGGAGAGGACCCTATGCCTGGCTTAGATACGATCTTCAATTTTTCGTGGTTGTGGGCCCCATTTGGGTCTCAGTGGTGCAACCAGGCTGAGTTGCTTTGTGTTTCTTCCACGTCATCCATCCCCTGGGCAAAGCCATCTCCCTGCTCCCTGTGGAAGCGCCCAAGCGTCCAGTGGAGCTCCTGGGACAGTCTCCTTTCCACTGGAGGACCTTGAGCACTGAGTTCAGTGGGAGCATGACCAAGACATCAGCAGGAGCAGGTCCAGGTGGCCCAAGGTGTATTTCCTCGGAGCTATGGTCAATTCAGGCAACAGGGAGTTGGTGTTGGGGGGTTCCTGTCACTTGGGGAACCAGTGTCCAAAACCCCCCGTGGTTTTAGCAGGAGCAAAGTGGGGCTTAACGTTTTGTTTCTGTCTTAGTTTGGCAAACCGAATTGTCCCCTTTTCGCCTGATCTACACATCCAAGATTCAGTAAGAGTAATAATCGCTTCCTCTGAGGCCAGAAACAAGAGCTTGGGGTGGCTTCAGGTGTCAGGTGAGGAGTCTTGGTGCTACTTGGTGGTGGTGGTGTTAGTCCTGTCCGGTCGAGGCGAGGAGCTGATGAGTCCAAGTTGTCTTTGGTTCCCATTCTGGTTTGGCCTTTTGGTTTTTCATTCGTTTGGTGAGGCCACAATTCAGCCACCAGTTGTTTTTTGGTTTTTTTTCCATCTTCTGAGTGCAAAGAACCAGGGCTTTAACGAAACATTTCACCAGCAATTAAAGAGGGAATTGGAACCATTGCGGAGTTTGCATTGTACGGCCTCTGTAATTACTTACCTGTCTGCAGATGAAAGGCTGAATTTTGCTCCCATCAAGTCAACGAGGCTTTTTGTTGTTGTTGTTGACTTCACTGGGAGCAGCATTGAGCCGTACTATATATATAAATATATATATAAATATATATATATGATATATATATAATATTATATGTGTAATATTATATATATATATCAGTGTAATATTTACAAATAAAACTGTGATCTCGTCTAGAGAAAAAATGTATTCATATTACCAACTGCTCTTCCATATTTATGTATCATATTGTATCTTTTTATTATTGTTATAATTATTATGATTATTATGGTTATTATTATTATTATTATGGAATCTTTCTTGGCACCTTTTGGAAGCCACGTCAACCAATACTCCAATGAAGTGCTGAGGATCTATTTTCACAAGAATTCTACTGGTCTACTGTATAAAAGAGAAAAGAAAAAAAAAAAAAAAGAAACAAGCAAAATACAGTTCAACCCTTAATTCTGTACCTCACGCCTGTACGTTTGCTGCTCCGATTTTGGGTTTTATTTTGCGTTCGTTTGTTTTTAACGGATCTAATTTAAGTCTCCAAGCAATATATAAAGATGTAAATAGTAAAGCTTATTTATTAAGATTGTCATCTTTTTTAATTTATATTTACACAATTGTTCATCTAATTTATTTTTGTTTTTCAATACAGTTTTTAACAGTTGTCCTTTTTTTGGTTCATGAGGTTTTTTAAAATCATTTTCACAGAATTTCTTTATACAGGTTTTCCTCTTTCTTTTAATAAACAACAACTTCCTCTGGTCTTTCAAAAACAGGTCATGTTTCACTCCAAAAAAAAAAAAGTTATGTCAGATTCATCAGAAATATTTTGCCATTGTTGATTCCTATACCCTAAAGTTCTATATTATATAAATATATAATACCTTGTATGCTTAAATATTTAACTGTGTGATTTTGTATATATCTTCATACACATGCTCACACACATATGAGGGTTAATGTCCCCAGATGTTGGGAGAACAGAGAATCAGAAACACAAACAATATAAGCTTGTATTAAAGAGTTCTGAACTGGACGACTTCCTCTTGCCACGTCTCCTTTGCTTTCGGTCAGGTACCTGGTGGGGGGAATGTGGCTGTGGGGTTCCACATCTGGCTGCTGCACATCTGGAAGGGCCACCCCATCCAGGTGCTCCTGATGAGTTCCGGCGCGTTGGGTTTGGGCTGGGCTTTTGGAAATGGTGGTGTTTTGGCAGAGCACTGGTAGGAGAGTGTTACTGTGTCCAGTTCTGGGCTCCCCAGTTCCAGAAGGACAGGGAACTGGGGGAGAGGGGACAGCAGAGGGCTACAAAGATGATGAGGGGACTAGAACATCCCTCTTACGAGGAAAGGCTGAAGAACTTGGGGCTTTTCAGTCTGGAGAAGAGAAGGCTGAGGGGGGATCTGATCAATGCCTATAAATACTTAAAAGGTGGGTGTCAGGAGGATGGGACCAGTCTTTTCTCAGTGGTGCCCAGGGACAGGACAAGAGGGAACGGGCACAAACTGGAACATAGGAAGTTCCATCTAACCATGAGGAGGAACTTCTTCACTTTGAGGGTGGCAGAGCCCTGGAAGAGGCTGCCCAGGGAGGTGGTGGAGTCTCCTTCTCTGGAGACATTCAAACCCA